TTCTGATGTGTTCTGTCTTAGAAACGACCCGGACTGCCGCTGCAACTTGGAATGAAATGGACAGAGATGCATATAAAACACAGCAAGGCTAAATGAGACTGTAAAAAGTAGGAAAGCACCCATATGGACCAAACTGTTTACTAGGGTCTAGAAGGATCTACAGGCCGGCGTGCTATGGTACCCCTCACCGTCTGTCTTCCCACTGTCTGGCCTGCCCTTGGTCCCTCAATGCTGCCAGGCCCCTTCCTTGCCCAGAGAGCCTGTCCGGGATGGGCCCTCCGCCTGGAACCTTCCCCAGATGTTCATACGGCTGCCTCCTGGTCATCCTCAAGGGGTCACTCCTGCAAAAGGCTCCCTTCTCTACCCCAATCCCTCATGACACATTAGCCTGTTTCGTTCTCTTTGTAGTTCCCATGGCTGCCCCAAATTATCCATGTTTCTTGGCTGTTTATTTCACCTGTTAAAATGCAAACTCTTGTTCCCTCTTGCATCCTCAGCGTCTACAATAGTATCTGGTCCAGGGTAGACAGCCAGCCAGCAGCTGTGCACCCAAGACCAGAGGAAGGGAGAAAGGGAGAGAGGGGGGACCTTGAGGTGGGAAGTTCATGATCAAGGAAGTAAAAGGAGGCTAACATTCCAAGATGAGGGAGAGAGAAGAGATGGGAAATAAGGTTTCACGGGAACAGATCGTTCAGGTAGATCCTATGGGATTTGGTAAAGATCTCTATCTGAAGATGAAGACCAAGGAGAGGCCTCCGAAAGCCTTCAAATCCAGAGTCATAGGCCTGGCTTTGTATTTTTAAAAATATCACCCTGGATTCAATGTGAAACACGAGTTACAAAGAAACAAGCAAGGTGAGGGGTTAGGGGGCCACCTCTGTGGCTCTGATAAGTCCTGCAGGCATGGCGACCCACAAGGGAATGGCCAATGGCCGGGGCGGGGTGGGTGGGGGGGAAACCTATGAGGGTGCTGAGGAGCAAGGAGGAAGCACATCCAGCAGGCTGCAGACATGAGCAGCATTCATTCAAATCCAAGAAACTATCAAAGAGGTAGGTTCGGTGGAAGAAGGTGCAGACTGACTAGTTCGGGGGGGTGCCTCTGAGACACCTCTGTGGAAATAGCTAGTAGATGGCTGGATATGCAGGTCTGGAGTTCAGAAGAGAAGTCAAGGCTGGAAGAAAACAAAGATCCCAAAGACATCATGAAACAAGACTTAAAACAAGATTTAATGATGGGAGATGGAGAGAAACAGAGGGAAGTCTAAGGGTTATACACTTTCCGATATGGGGCTCTGTCAGAATGGCGGGGCGGCTGATGGAGCCCAGGACAGAGGAGAGATGAAATATTTGAATAATCCTAAAATAATGGGGCTCTGCTCGGAAACTGCATAGGACCCAGCAGAGCTATGGTAAAACAGTATGAACGGGTACAGAGCGGGGGGATGGTCAAAGTCCTGGAGAGAAGTGTTTCAAGCCAGGCTTACGGGGAGGTGCTTGCTATGAAATTTCTAGGAATTGAGAAGCCATGCTTCCCACGAGGCCAAATGACTACATTCTCGGCCTCCCTTGTTAACTAGGTGTGGCTGTGTGACTCAGTTTCTGTAAAAGCTAGAAAAAGAAGTGTGTGGTCTATCTGGAGATAGTCCATGAAAACGGAAGGGCACACATTCTTCTCCTCCTCTTTTCTCCACGCTGCTGCCTGAAGCGTGGATGAGATGGCTGGAGCTCCAGCAGCCCCTTAGTCCGTGAGGAGGTGGACCAAATCTAAGAGATGGCAAAGAAAGGAGCTAGAAAGTGCCTGGGTCTCTGACGCTTTCATACAAGTGCCATAAACGATCATATTGAAGCCCCTGCCCCTTGAAGATGTCCTGTTACATGCAGTCAATCTTAATCCTAACCGGAACACTAGCCAACAGGTCCGACACGTCCCCCTGCATTTCTGTCCCCTTGCCGGTGGTCACGTCATTGCCTGGACAGAGAATATTCTCCTGCTTGCCTGTATTTATTTAAATCCTGCCCATCCTCTGGAGGATGGATCAAATCCCACCTCCCACACGAGACTTCTCTTCCACTTCCTCCCCTGAACTCTGGTGCTGCCTGTGTGCCCCCACTCCTTGGGCATCTTGCCTCCACTGCCTTCACAGTGACTCATTCTTCCACACTTATCCCCTGGCTCCTCAAAGAGGCTCAGGACCCTCAAGGGCAAGGTCCCCAGTTTCCAAGGCCCTGTATTCCCTGGGCCCGAGCAGCATTCAAAGCTAGGTGATGATGCATAGGCCCCACGAAGGCTCTTTCACCTCGACCTGCAGCCAGGTTCAGGATGGAGCCAGAGGTGTGTAAATATGTTCAGAAAATACGAAGGCGGGCAGGGTTGAGGGCAGCTTGTAAGAAATCTGAAACCACTTCTAATAGCAAGGGGTAGCTAGGGGGAAAGATCTGAGACATCGCCTTCCAACTACATAACACAGCGGTTGGACCACCATGAGGTTAATGTGGTGAGCGAGGGGCACCGTTCATGCAGAAGACGAAGTGCACGGTAACCCCCCCACCCCTCCCACCCCCCGCTCCGAGAGGGGCCATGCTCTGGCCCCATACTTACAAACACAAGCCCCTTCAGGAAAAATCAGCAAGCCAGATCAACCCACGTCGGTTCACATAACACACTTGCAACGTGCTCTTCGCAAATGGATATCAGTAGCGAGTTGCTTTTGATAACGTCCATAAAAAGTATGTTTGGAACATCCTGAGGGCCATCGAGGACCAAAGTCGGTGGCTCACGACTTAATACAGTTTCATTCGTAAAGGGCGTCTAAGTTTTGTAATTGTGTATTTTTGCACCCACTGTCTGCCACGGAGATTTTTCGGCTGGATCAGCAAGGCAAAGAAGGCCCAGAAGATTCTGCCCCCCATCGGAGCTGACCCACCAGGGAGACATCAGCAGAGTTAACAGCTCCTGGGGAAGCTTCCATGGGAACTTCTAACTTAGAAGAAGCTCAAATCCAAAAAACCCAGCTTACTTAAGGGCGTGCCCAGATTCCCTCAAAACATCTGAGAAAGCAGATGTGGAAGAGAACGCATGTTCCCCCCGCAAAGCAACCACGTGGATTTGGAGCCCACAAGAAAGACCCCAAAGTCATTGTCAATGAACCCAAGGAATGAGCTTGGCACATAAAGAGCCAGTTAAGAGACAAGAGGCTTCCTGATGAAAGTAACACTGGTCCCTCTTCAAGATGAACAGGCCCCGAGGTTAAGACCGCTCTTCTTCCCGAACACGGTGGGAGCACAATTTAGAGGGCTGCTCCTCTGCCCCCTTCCCTGCCAAACCCACGAGGCCCAACGCCACTTGGGAGGGGCGCCTGTGGACACGCCCCTCCGCGGGGAAAGCCACCCTTTCGGGCCACGTCACCACTTGTGACCACCAGGTGTCAGTAGTGAGGGCGGCACCTCCCACCCCGAGGCTTCAGGGAACTTGAGCCAGACCCTGAAAGGGGGAGACACCGGATCCTGCGGCTTTGGGGACATGCAGGGCTATGGCCACATTCTCAGGCACGCATGAGTATTTCATTCCATTTGCCTGGTTGCCAACTCACCATGCAAACTCACTGTGCACCCTCTGGGATGTTTTTAATTCAGTATCTTTCATGCACTCCCGAGGAAAAAAAATGACAGAGTCCTTTCTTTTCTTCTCCCCAAGGAAAATGAGAACATAAAGCAGGGTTTTCTACTCCTTGCCTATCCTCCCCACAGAAACTACCAAATAACTAGTCTAGCACTTTCTTTTTATACTGAGGCTCGAGATGTTTGCTTTGTAATGTTTCGGTGACAGCTTGGGTATTACTGGGTGCCGAGCCCACAGGAAGCAAAGCCCAGCAAGGAAACTGCATTGTGCAAAGCCAGAACGAAGGGTCCCTTCACTGCCCGCTTTACTGCGCTGGGTCTAAATTGGTCTCTCTCATCGGTTGTCGCAGCTTCAACAGAGATACTGGATCATGAGTACCTTCAGCAACAATGAAAGCCATAGTCTGTTGGCCTTTTAAAACTCAGGATGTCAAGAAAGCTCTCTCTGCCCATCCTACAGTGACTCCCCCCTCCAGGCTGAGGACATATCCTTTGAAACATGAGACTGTACCAAGCCAAGCCCACTGTGTCCTCAACACCAAGCACTGCGGCCCCTCCCAGGGGCCACGATGCCATTGAACAGCACCCAGCCACCCAAAAGAACACACCCTCTTTAGCTTGGCCTCTCCACATCCAAACACACAAGACTCCCTGCTGAGTACTGAGGTGTCCAGTGGGTGTTTCACTGTCACTTAACCCCCCCACTTGAATCCACGTAAGCCTGGTTTCAAATATCTCACAAGCAATGACGTGGAGGACAGAGGAGAAACACAATCCTCTGGTTGGAGAACCCTCCCAGGCTTGGTTTAGCATTCTGCAAATAGCTTCGAGTCCCCATCTTGCCACAAGGAAACACTCAAAGGTTCTGATGCTAAATGGCAGCAGGGAGGCCCACGACCTAGAAAAGCAGTCTTGTAAATGGGGGGCCAACAGCTGGACCAAAGACTACCCTTGGGACCGTCACCAAAACAGGCAGAGGCACGACATTTCTGGATAGAGACAGCCACCAGAGCGAAGACGCCAGTTGGATCCAAAGTCCCAATGGGGTTAGCCTAAAGTCTTGCCATTGAGCGGCCTCCATTGCCTATCTGTGTCTGCATTTCTTTGCTCCCAAGGAGCATTACATCAGGTGATAAGGTGGAGCTCTCGGACATCTTTCCAGAAAGAGATAATGTACAATGATACCCAGGGTCTTGGCTTAGCCAGGGAAACCTCTGCTCCTCTCCTTTAGTCTTGGATTCCTGGTCCCCCATTGCATTCCGCCCCACCCCAGCAACAACGCTGGAGCTGTGTCTTCCAAGAACAAGTGTTTCCAGGTCTGGACTGAGAAACACGGCACCCACAGACCAAGACAAGCGTGTGGAGCAAAAACCCAGTCTCACCGTTCGCGGATGATGAGTAACAGTGGTGGACGGTGCCCGAGGAAGAGGTGCTACAGTTCTGCCAGAGGTCGGTTGCGTGTCCATTGCCCACGATCCATTGCTAGAAAGAACCAGACATCTTAAATCAGACAAGTTGGAGAGGAGCGAAGGCAAGGGGAGAGTGAAGATGAAGGGAAGGCAGAGAGGTGGGGGTCTGGCTCAGGGAGGCCCAGTGTTTGCAAGTGAAAAGCACTTTGTTATTAGAAAAGTTGCACACACGCGCGTAAGCTAGTGTGTGCAGAAGGATGTACTATAGTAGAAGGAGCCTCAGACTGAGCCCAGGACACCCGCATTCAAGCCAGCTCCCCTCCCTGATCTCCTGAGTGTCGCTCCCCCAAACTACCACCCCTCTGAGCCTCTCTCCTTACCCATAATTCCTATTAATCCGACAAGATTAATTAAGATGCTGTAAAGACACTTATAAATGATAGAACAACCCACAAGCCCCCAACATCAATATTTCTCATTCCCACGTAATTATCTCTCAACCTTTGAAACAGGGGAATAGCGTGCCTGGAATTTGCCTTACACTAAGAAGTTAAAGCCACAGTCATAGTTTCAAATCGAATGTGCTTGATGTTGGATGGTTTCAAATCGAAAAATGTGCTTGATGTTGGATGGTTCTGTGACCCAAGTTGTACCCTGATAACCTGTTCCTAGAGTGGAGGCTTAATAGTGGAAGGCGCTGGGTCCACATCACAAAGCAGACCCAGGACTGTGGGTCTTTTCTGGAAGAGCCCATGTTAACCTTCCAATATCCAGCCCTCCAGGGGTGTTGTATGAACTAAGCCGCCCATTTGACCCTATGACATGTGGAGAAAAACAAAACTCCATAAATACTCCGCTTCCTTCCTCAACGAATCTACAGCGAGAAGAAAAAAAAAAAGTGCTAAGCAATCTCATCAAATGAAGGTCGGGGAACCCTGGCTCCACACCGAAATATTTGGCATAAATGGAGGCCTGCGCAGCTAACCTAGTCCAGCGATTGCTTCCTTCCTACCCCTGAATCTGCTCCGGTTTTCTCAAAACAACTGAAAGGGGGCAGATTGCCAGAAACTGCAAAACGCCCGCGGGGACGTCTGAGACTTCACGTTGTCTGCAAATAACACGGCGGCGCTGAACTGGGGGGAGCACAGCCGGAATCGCCTGGGGGAGGCCGGCGCACTGCGGGGGGGGGATGCGGGAGCTTGGGGTGCCCCGCCCGCCCCCCCGCCACTCACGCTGACAATCGTGGAGACGAAGAGCAGCACCAGCACTGCGACGTGGAGGACGATGATGCCCAGCAACAGGAGGAGCATTGTGGAGGCAAGTTGCGCTCAGCGGAGTTTCTGCCTGCCAGGAAAGAGAGCCGAAGCTGGACGTGAGGCCGAACCAACTGGCGCGAGCGAGCGAGGGAGGAGGGAGGGTCCCGGCGCCGGCGGAATGCAGGGGGCTGGCACCGCGCCCGCCCGCCCGGCCCGGCCCGGCCCGGCCCGGCCCCGGGCGCCCGGCCGAAAGAGGGCAGCAGCCGACCGCAGCATCCGCGCCCGGCAGCGGCCGGGCCCGCCTGCGACAGAACATCCTTTGCTTTGGGAACAAAGCAAGAGGTACGCACGTCTAAGTCACCCCAGGAGGACAGGGTTTTCCCGAAGGACGAGCGGAGGCCGCGGCACACCTCCACCCACCCGGGGTTGCCTCCGGAGCCCAGGCCCACGTGGGGAAGGGGGCAGAAGGAGGAGAATGTGCCCCTTTCCCCTTTACGGAGGGGGAGGTGGGGGGTCAGGGGGTAGGCGCCCGGATTTCTGCCGGAGGCCTGGGGACACCAGCGGCACGCTGTGAGGGAGAGCGCGCGGCTGCGAGCTGGTTTCCCAGACCCGGTGCGCTCCGCATTCCGTTAGTCTCCGAGTTTCCACCCCCTTCTGCCGGCGCTGGGGAGCCGTCCTGGCCCCAGCTCAGCCTGGCATCGGCACGGGCGGCCCCGGAGAGGAAGCGCAGAGCCGGGGGAGTGTGGGCAGGAAGGAGTGGCCCGGAGAGTGGCCGGACCCTGCGCCTCCCGCCCACCGCGCGCTTCCCCAGGCGGCCCCGGCGGGCCGGGCCCTGCGCCCCCGGGCTGGCCCCTCGCCCGATCGCCGGGGTCCCGGCCGCGCCGCCGGCACGCAGAGCCGAGACGCAACCCGGTCCAGCCGCGGCGCTCCGGGACGCGCGCCCAGGAGCGTCCATTAAGGGGGCCAGACGTCCGGTGGGACGGAGAGGCGGAGGACGAAGGGCTGAGTCCCAGGAGAACTGCAGCCCGCCAGAGCCCGCAGGACATCTTCCCTCCGCAGTTGTGCGGTCCTGGCCCCTCATTTTACAGACCTTGGGGAACTGAAGACCCGGGTGACCCGTTAGAGGATACGTATGGCTGTGAAAACCCTGCTGCACTTGGGCGGACCGTTTCAGTACAGGGCCTTGGGCCAGGGAGACGACGTTTCTGTAACTCATAAAAGTACCCAGTAACCAGGCCCCTCCGTTGCTATCCATAAGCAACACATTCAAAAGAACCCTGGAATGCACGGGAAGAAATAAGCCCGGTTTTCCGATGTCTCCCAGAAGGTTTAAATTAAATCCAGTGGCTCCGAGAGCCGGGGAGGGACAGAGAAGGATAATCGGATATTACGTGGCTAGAAATTGGGGGACCACGGGGGTCCAGTAGCCCTCCCCCCAGGTGTCCACCACAGGAACCAATTTGCCAATGAGTCCCCAAGTAGGCGCTTCTCCAGCGAGACGAAAACTGCTCAGCCCCTGCCCCACAACCCGACACCACCACCCGCGCCCCTTACGACTTATGGACCATAAGGCAAGGCACGCCGTATCCCCTACAAACCCCGTAAGAACTATACAAGACAGACCGCGGTCTGTCTGTCTGAGCTCGGAAAGACAGCTCGGAGACCTGACCAGCCCAAAGCCCGCGCCTGCTCCGCGCTTTCTGGCACCATCGACGGAAGATGCCCACGTTTCTCCTCCATCTCCTCCACTTTCCCTAGCAAAGCACTTACAGCCCAAAGGGATGGTTGTCCCCGATCCTCAAAGTGGCCTCCGGCACAAACAACTCGGTGCGTTCGCTCGGCTGCTAGCGTCCCCGAAGAGAGCAGCGCTGCCGGGCTGCGCGCGCCAAGCGAGGGGCCAGAGGGAGGCTCCCGGCGTTCCCCTTTAACGGGAACTACGCCCTGTCTGCGTCGCTGCAATAGGGTGTGTCCCTGGGTTAGCGTGTGCAGGGGGGCGGGCCTCAGGGAGGGGAGAGGGCAGGAGGGAGGGAGGGAGGGAGGGCAGGAGAGAGTTACTCGGCCTCCCCTCCGCCTCAGGAGAAAGTCGATCCCTGCAAAACCGCTGCGACTTCTACTCGAAACTAGGCGGCAGCTGAGCTTTCTCACCTCCGCTTCCTCTGGCTCCCCGAGTCCCTGGAGCCCAAGTGCTGGCCAATAAACGGGTCCCTCCGCCCCCCTAGGCCACGTGGGAAAAGCCCTCCCGAGGTCGCCCCCGGCGGTGCCCAGCGCTGGGCTTTGGGGCGCACGCACGCGGACTGCGCCCACGCGGGAGCCGAGGCTGGAGTCCTCTCCTCCGGGAACGCGGGGAGCTGACACTTCAGCGCTGGAAGGCGTCCCTCTCCTCTAGGGTCCGGGCGCGCCTGGCCTGCCGTGGCATTTCAGCCGGGCACACCTGCCCCGCGCCCGCCCGCGGTGTCGGTGTCTGCACCTAGGCCGTGTGCCGGGTTCCCAAGACTCGAGGGGACCCACTGGCGGGCCCTGCTTGGGTGAGAATTAGCCGGAGGAGGGAGAGTCCCGCCGGCTACAGAACAGCGTGCCCGGGTAGGGGGGCGGTCTGGCTCCTCCTAGCCTGGGCAAAACCAGACCCCAACCGGGTAAGCTCCAGGCGAAGTTTGCCTGGCCTGGCTCCCAGCCTCCGCCGGCGTCCCCGGCCGTAGGGTGGGGAGTTGGCCATTGGACTTGGGGGAAGAACAGCTAGGGAAATCCGCTGATTCATAGTCGCCTGAACGTGGTCCTCCCAGTGTCACCCGGAAAGAGGCTAGCCCTTCTGGGCGTGGCACAGGTGGGCCCAAGTAAGGCTCTCTGATGGGAGAGCCGTGATGCGCCAACAAGGAGCCTTAAATGTGGATTCTAAGTGTCTTTGCCTACTAATGCAGCACTTTTGCACACCCGGGCACACAGACGTCTTCTGCTGGTGTCCTGTGTCATAAAACTTTATTGCTCTAAATGAGTCAAACAATTCCATAGGATTTTACTCTTTGAACGCAGCTGCTCAGGGTAGCCGATTGCATATTCTTATCTTTAAGTAAAAGTACATTATCTGAAATATTCCTTGAGCAATGGTTTTTTTTTTTTTTTAGCAATGGTCTTTTAAAAATTCTTATGGGATTAAAAAGGTGACATGTAAAAATTTCACTCAATGCCCATTATGTGGTTGGCACTTTAGCAGAACTTTACACATGATCTAGGAGACGGGGACTAAGGCAATGCTTTAGGCACTCCGGCTCTGTGCTCACACAAACCTGATTACTCAGGGTTGTGAACTTGGGCCAGCCGCTGAAGTTCAGTGAGCTTCCATTTTCTTATCCGCAAGCAGGACTGGTAATGCCTATTTTATGGGGGTGAGTAAAGGGGATGAAGTGTGTGAAGCAGTTAGCATAGTGCCTAGAACATAGGAACCAGGACTCAGTAAATTGTCATTGGTTATTATTAGATCATCTTTAGCCCTCAAGGCAAGGCAGACACCACCACCCCCCCGCCCGCCACCGCCCCAGCTAAAATGGCTTAGAAATCCCACAGGTCTGAAGTTCATATGCAAGTAGAAAAACCAACCAGAGGAATAGCGCTGTGTTCTCTCCTCCTGGGTCATTTTATAGCAGTGCCCCAGGAATCATGGCCTCACTTTATGCCATTTCAGACTTTTATTTTGTTTATTTAACCAACATTTATGTGGTCACTATGTCCCCAAGACTATCCTAAGCACTTCACAAATATTAGCATATTGAACTCGGGATTTTCTTTCTCTTTTTTTCTTTTTGTTCCGAGTAAACTTTTTAATGAAGTATCTACATCTAGAAAAGCGCACACACACTGTAAAGAACAGCTTGTTTCTTCCTCTCATGTGAACCCAATATTTTAGTCCATGAGCAGGTGACACCGCGCTGTGGGTTTCAGAACACGTGAACCTGAACCCTTTGGTTCAGCCCTTACTGCCTCTCGCCTGCCTCCCACCTGCCCGGTTCCCAGGGTAGGAAAGGAGACACTGCCCAGGGCAGTGTTGACCAGGCTTGGCTATACCCAGGGCCCGGCCAGTGCTTTGTTACAGGTGGAAACTTCTCCCTGACCTGCTTCCCAACCTGAGGTCCCCTGCCAGCTGTGTGTGCAGAGCTGTTTCCCATCAGGGAAATAGCATCAGGTCCCCTTTCTGCCTGCAAATCTGAATGCGCTGGGCTTCAGATAGTCCTTCTCTCCTCCCCAGCGAGAGTATACAGCCAGCTCTTCATCAAGGATTTTAAAACATCCTCTGACTCTCTGTCAATTGCAACACAGTGCACCATTTCCACTGCAATCCCTACCGGTCCTGGTTTGCAGGGGGTGGGGGATCGGGCAGTTCTCCCAGAAGCATAAGCACGTACTATCCAGAGAGACAGTTTGCCAAGAACACTCACCGGGCCAAATTGGGTAACTCCTTCCTCCACGCGGGTTTCTTTGCAGTCAAACACAAGGGATGCCAAGGCAAGGCTCTCCCCACAGGGTGGCGGAGAGACCAGCAGGCAGACTGTAAGCCCCACTGCTTGCAACCAGTCTCCCTGAGATGTTCCCTGGTGGTGCTCCCTGTAACTGAAGCCAGACCAGGCATCTTTCCAGTTTATTCAGGGGCTGGTCCAATGCTGGGATATGTCATGGTGGCCTGAGAGCTTCTCAGTCTCTACTACTTAAAGAGACAGCACCCTGTTTTGTGTACTTGCCAGAGCACAGTGATCCCAAGGGGCCCTCCCGAGCACGGAGAACTGGAGATCAACAGGGAAAGGACTTGGGGTATGCCCACAACCTGGGAAGCCAAGCTTATTCCCACTGTGCCAGCCTGAATGATAACAGAGCACCCCCAGCTCCCAGCACCCCACCGCTCACCCCTCTAGGGGATTCCACAAGGAGGAAATACACTGTGTGAAGAGTCTGTGTGCATCGTGTCATACGTGTTACCTGCAGACTCGGTCTCATTTTTAATCGACATCATCGTTTTAAGGAGCTCCAACATTGCACAGATAATGTCGACCTTCATGAGATAATCCAATCCAAGTAAACAAGTCTCTGTTGAAGACATTCCACCCCGTCAGGCAGGACAGGCTAGGAGAGCAATTGCAAAAGTTATGGAGAGGCAGACAAACGAAGGTACCGTCTTCTTCAGGCTCTTTGCACTTGATGCTCCTTCAAGCTCTCCAAAAGGGTCCTCCATCTCTAGCAAGTTCTCCTGGGTGAAAGCGCCAAGACAGGGCACTTGGTTTTATTGAAGGAGTCCCTTGGAATTCTGGCAATTTCCCCCACCTCTTATGTCGGGCGTGGGGGAGGTAAAGGGGGGTAATCTGTAGTGTTCTGTAGAGTTTGGGGAAGTCTCTCTCTGCCACAAACACTTTAATGTTTTGTTACGCTCTGCGGGCAGAAGGGGTCCCAAGGGCCTGCTCACCGTTCTGCTCCCACCCAGGATCTTTCCGGTCCTGGTGAAACAGTGTAACACGGCCTTGGGTCTCATGAGATCTGACTGCTCGTTAAAACGATGGAGAGCTTTGCATACCGCCTGGCCTGGGCCTGGGCCTGGGCCTGGGCCTGGGCGCCGAGTGGCTGACTCAGTGGTCTGGGATGCAGCTCAGGTGTGGGTAATTTTTCACATTCCTCGAGATGTTCCAGTGTCCTGCCAGATTGTCACAAGGCGTCAGATGGTCCCCGGTTTCCTTCTAGCTGCCTTCTGTCATGGGGCCCAGATGGAAATAAGGCCCAGTGTGGGCTGCAGGGTTAGACAGGGTTACGGTTCAGTGTCACCAGGTAACACAGGGGCGTGTGTGTGTATCTGGGGTGTGTGTGTTGCGTGTCTGTGTGTGTGTGTGTGTGTGTGAGAGAGAGAGAGAAAGAAGCTCCCTCAATCCTCCCCAACATAGGGGGTGAGTGGCAAGAAGCGTAGGGCAGGGTGCAGGTGGGAGGCATGGATTTTTCTTCCGGCTGGATAGTGCCAATCTGATCAGCCCTCCATCCTTCCAAGAGCTGCATGTTCCAGGACCAGCTCTCTCGGACCCCTGTCTCCTTCGATCCCCCCATCTCCTGCAGCCAAGCTCTGAAAACTTGCTGGCTTTGGCTGAGACCTGTTTGAGGAGCTCCTTGAGGCTTCAATGCAGCAGAGCTGGTCCCTGCTGTGCTCCTCACTGACCCATCCATCGGGCACCAACACACTTGTCTCTACCCACCTGGGCCAGGTTCTCTGCCTCCTCTTGGATCTCTCTCTCCCCTGTTCTGGAGGCACTCCTTGGCCAAAAGAAACCCCAGTCCATCTGTGCTGAGCGGTGCATCCTCAGGGCCATGGAGAGTATCCCCCGGGGTCACTTGCCATGATAACGAATAGCATATTGACCAAGTCATATTTTACTTCTGTTATTATTTCGCCCATTTTATAAATAGGGACGATGAGAGTCAGGCAGACTGGGAGCCTGATGCAGGGCTCACTCCTAGGACCCTGGGATCATGACCTGAGCCAAAGGCAGACGCTTAACCAACTGAGCCACCCAGATGCCCCTCTTTACAACAACCTTATGAATAGGTACCTTGATCGTCCTTTCTCCATATGAGGGGAAACTGAGGCACAGCAAGACACTGAGTGGCTTTCTCAGGGACAGCCCACCCCACGAGAAAATGGCAAAGACCAGCTGCGAAGCAGGCATCCCAGCCACAGAGGCCACGCTCTGTACCCCATGCTATCTTGTACCTTAACTTTGGCCTTCACAGAACATCCATACTTTGTCACGATGCTGTCATACACATCACATAATCCAATTTCCTTTTTCTGCCAAAGATACAGTCTATCTATTTCTACATCCGCATTTCTTTTTTCCATTAAAAAAGCAGGAAGATATCCTAAGACCTCCACTGCTCCCACCAGGCCCGTGAGCTCCCCTCGCGGGGGTCCTGCCTGCTTCTGCCCACAAGGTCTCTGTGTCGCACACCCGTGAAGCTCTGTATCCTGCAGATGACAGTTTGATTTCGTCCACAGGGACGGGATCTAAGCAGGTGCTGGGAGTGGGATGCAGCCCCTTTTCCATCTACATTTCGAGTTTCGGAAATGCTTCCGCCCGTCCGTGGTAGCTTACTCGACGGGGGGGGATGGTTTTTGAGCATCTTCTATGTGAAGAAGGCGGAGCTTGGAGAATTCGCCCTGTTTCCTCCAGCCACTGGCAAGTACCTGCCAGGGCTGGGTCCCGAAACCAGTTCCTCTAATTTCCAATCCTGTGACTTTTTTTTCCATCATGTGGACTCCCCAAGGGGGGAAAAAAAAAAAAAGCAAACAGAGGTGAGTCTTAATTGGGCATTTGTCCCGTTGATGAAGCGGTCATCAGAGGCTCAGTGTCGCCAGGCACTGGGTCAATATCTGGGGAAGTGTTTACACCATAAATGAAGCCTTTCCTGTCTTAGTGCAGCCAGCAGCCTGTGTGGGTGTTCTTGGCGAGGCCTGCTCACATCTGGTCTGGAAAGGTCCTCAAAAGGGAGGTTACTGCCTCATCTACACTCCTCTGACTCTTCTAAGCAGCTTAGTATTAAGAGCTCAAGCATAGGGGAGAAAGAAGGCAGAGGGAAAGGGAGGGAGGCCAAAGAGAAAGAGAGGAAAGACGAGGAGAAGGGAGAAGAGGAGGAATGGAAGGAGCCAGTTTGACTTCCCTGAGCAGATCCCTATAAATAGCCATGTTTGGAATGATGGCAAATCCAAGCCCGGAGAAGATGTTCTCCGTGACCAACAGAAGCAGGTAGAAAGCAGCCTGAAGACACACACACACACTCAAATTGGCACAGGGCCCGTCTCCTCAATTACCGTCTTTAAAATTCACAAATTTATCTTGGGACAAATGGCGCTTTAAACTCCTTCACCTGTGGGAGCGAGAAAGCACAGAACGATTATGCTGTGCCCTTGGAACGATACAAAGTACAAAGAATTCTTTGTTCCCGAACTGCTTGTTGCTTAGGAAAGCCAGATTCCATAGATGCAAGCAGAGGGCAAGAGAGCGGGCTTTTCTGATATCTCGTGAGCTGGCGGACAAGGGATCTGGGAGCAATTGAAGCAGGAGAGGGTCCAAAACTGATGTGTGCTTGAGATGGAAAACTCTGAAACTTTTCTAAGACTCTGAACTCCTCAGGGACATTTTTCTGTTCCAGGCCAGGGAGAGGCCCATGGAGGTGGGGAAGGCCATCAGTCTTGCCACACGGCTGGGGCTGGGATAAGCGGGAATGGATGGATTTTCTGGACCCCTCAGACAGGGTACGATAGTGCCAAGGAAGGCAGCCTGGGCGCCATGTTGGAAGTTGTCCTTTTTGATGGAGGTGGATAGGAGAGTCCACTATAAAGCCAAGGGAATGCTTGAGTCAGGTAGACGAAGCCACACTGAGCCATGGGGGCATTAATCTCCTGCAAGAAAAGCAAGGTGAGCACCAACCATCCCAGAAGACAATCCGAGTGAACAAGCCCCAGGACGCATCCTTGTCCTCAGGATGCATCATCCTACGAGTGCCTCTGAGCTAAAGGAACAGCAGTTGCACTAAAAATGAACTTGAACACAGATGTTTTCTTCATCTCTGAGTCCCTGAACCACTTATCAAGTGTGAAACCTCAGCTCAAGCCAGGGAAGTTCACGCACAAATGTCAGATCCCTTTGAGAGGTCCAAGGCAGAAGTGGGCAAAGCTTCAAACATGTTTACTCTTTCCTGTTAAAGACCAGGGAATATCTATCCAGGGGACTTCAGTGGTAAGCCTGGGCCTCCTGTGGCAATTACCTTCGAAATCTGATCCGGAAATTAAAATTCTAGAAGTGTATCTCACCGGAGTGATGGATATGCAATAATTTGGCCATTAGAACCCTTTATACCATGAAGGAAAATGTGAGCATCCTAAATCTCAAACCATAGGGAAATGGCTGGAGAAATTTTGGTGCAGTCCTAAGATGAGATATTACGTGGATATTAAAAATAACATTGAAGAAGTTTATTTAATGAAATGAGGAAAAGTCAACGATGCGTGCTTAGTGGGGGAAAAGTTAGGAAAATTAATATATCTATAATAGTGCTTACCAGGCACTGTGCTAGCCCTCTCATTTAATACCTACAACAATCCCAGGAAGGCTGGACATTTCTGACCCCTAGGGCACCAAGAGGTTAAGTACTGTCATGGGCACAGAGCTGGAATGGTAGAGCCAAAACATAAATGTTGACAATCCGAAAGCAAGACCCTGCATTCTCAGCCACCAGACTCCAACAAATATATACTTTCAGACACATCCCAAGTTCCACGGTGACAAAAAATGAAAGCAAAATCTGAAAGCCTGCAAAGTTTGAGAATGCAATGCAACACTGTGCTTTCGAGTTCATCATCAAGTGGGAAAAGTACATTTGCATGGAACTGAACTTATCACAGGGCCAATCATGACCAATAACCACCCGTCTTAGTCTTGTGCCTCCATCAGCTGAATCTGTGACTTTCTGGCTTAAGTGGAGGAAATGGGCACTGGGCCTACCCCAGGGAGGGGTCAGGAGAGCCACGGGCCAGGCCTTGCTTCATCTCTTGTGCTGTCTCCAAATGGAGTCATACATCCAGA